AGGGAATGAAAAGGAGGAATAAGAAGAAGAAAGTGGAATTTTATTGCCAATTAATTGAGCGGGTGGGAGGGTGGTGGATAAATGATATTTTACTTATTTTTTTCTTTTTTTTTTTTTTTACAAGAGTGTTGTGAAAAAATGATATTTTACTTTGCTTTGCTTTGCTTTCCTTTTATAAAGAGTGTTGTGAAGATCAAATCAGGTCGGTCGGTCCGATTAGTAGAACCGGCGACCAGTCATCACCACGGTCAAATTGATGGTTGTTCGACTCGATCAAAATTAAACAGGTTGGAAAAAGGGTTCTGCTGTTTTTCGAACCCATCATCCCCTAATAAGCAAAATAAACACTTTACAATTTATTTATAGTTTTTTTTTGTGACATCAAATATTTTCTATTTCCAGAAAACCACTCATACTGTCCACGTATAATTTTTATCTTCATAAAATAATAGGTTTCCACTTGTAATATATATTCACATAATTATTCGATAAGAATATAATATTATATATAAACGTGAAGTTAGTTTACTACTAATTACATTTTGATATTCCAAATCTAATTAAATTATAATTTAGTGATAATAATGTACATTTTATATTTTGATACTAAAAAATGTAAAATCATTGAACAATTATGTTTTGGTATCTAAATTTATGAGATTTCAATCTACACTTTTATAAATTTACATATTGGTCCAATGTTTAGATTTCACTTAAATCCATGAATCCAATCCACCATAACATAAAGTATAAATTTAGTTTGTATCATGCAAGATCTTGTATCTCTCAATTGTAGGAGAAGATTCGACCATTTTATATTTGCTCATTACGTGAAACATATAATAAATGATAAAAGAGAAATGACTCTAAAATATTGCAAGAGCGAATTTATAAACTCATTTAGTACATTTCCGGTGGTACTAAACAAACTTCTACTAACAAGTAACAAAATATGCGACAACTACATAAGCAAGTTTCAATAAATTGCTATGTGAAAATGGTTGAGTGTTGTATTGACGGTCAACTAAAAGAATTGGTCAAAACCTTTCCATCATTTACGTCCTCTTTGTTTCATTTTTCACTCGCCTTCCATAACCCTTTTTTATTTCTTTCTTTGCCTTCTTCGTCTAACCCTAATTACTATACTATTTTGATCTATTCTAAATACAAGTATGAACGGTTCCATACACGACTCACCAACAGTCTAGAGAATTAATAATTGAACTACTACTTATTAGAAAGTCTCATTTACGACTATAAGATTTGAAGGCATGAAATTTTAAGCGAGTTCCAGTTTGTATTCCTTTTCCTTCTCTCTAGAGTTTTTCTTTTTCACCTGGGCTAGAATTTTCAACATTTATACATGGAATGTTTGGGTAGTTATCTACACATATCAAATAAATAGTTTCCATTTTTCTATAAAAAGTAAATAATTATCATCTTAAATACATCATAAAAGGAATTAAGCCTCAATTATGAAAATTATAGTTTGCTACCTAAACTTAATAGATCTTTAGAATACTAACCTCAATTAATTTTTTTGGCATATAAGTCCTCAAATTATTGATGGTATATTATATGTCGGTACCTAAACTTTTGAAGTTATACAAATAGGTCTAATTTTTGTATGTGTAATTATAAACGTGAAGTTAGTTCACTGTTGCATAACTAATTACATTTTGATACTCCAAATTTAATTAAATTACAACTTAGTCATGACAATGTACATTATACATTTTGATACTAAAAAAATGTAAAATCATTGAACAAATATGTTTTGGTATCTAAATTTTATGAGACTTCGAATCTACAATTTTTTAAATTTACATATTGGTCCAATGTTTAGATTTCACTTAAATCCATGAATCCAATCCACCAATCCTTTTGAACCAATCCATGAATCCAATCCACCATAACATAAATTATAAATTTAGTTTGTACTTAGGTTACCCAATTCGCCACTCACACGGTGGCGCTCCCGCTTTCAAACGCCAAAACGCGGATTTCGGGAAGTTCGGATATAATTCGTGAATTATGTTTGGTCGGAGCGCGTACTTTAAATTGCAGAGCGCGACCTGTCCTCTCCAATCGCTGGCAGGGCTCCTCTGTCAGGTGATCTATCGCCGTAACATCTTTATAGCCTGATGGTAAACGGTAAGCGGTTTACCGTTTTACCGAACCGGTAACCGGCGGTAAACGGTTTAGGTAAGCAAGTAAACAGTTTACCGTTTTACCGAACCGGTAACCGACGGTATCGGCAGCCGATCGAGAACTTGGGCGACTCAGTTTACCGGACATGGTATCGTTAAATACCGACGGTAAGTCGGTAATACCGATACCGCTGCATTTTGCTTGGCCCTCCCAAAGGTAGGACAAGATTCGGTACCCTCCGGTGAGATCCGTGGAGGGCATGTAGGTTCCAGTGAAGAGATCCTTCTTCTAGACTTTGGACAAATCGAAGAGGACAGGGAAGCTTTTCCCGTCGAGCAGGACGATGACGCGAGGTTGGTGGCGATGAAAGGGCCTGGCATGTTGACTCGGTAGACCGTTGACTGGTACTTCTGCATTCGGGATTTGAAGAACTCATTGCGGCTTTGGTTGTAGAAGTTATCGAGGCGGTCTTGGATGTGTCTGAATCTAGGGAGGCCATAGTCGCCCGGAATCTATCGGATTGGGAGATTGGATTCAGGGGACGGTTTGGTCAAACTTGGGATGGAGGAGAGTGGGGATTTGTCGAATATGGAGGCTTTGATTGGGCGGAGGGAGGAGGGGAATCTTCTGGCGGTGGTGAATCTGTGGGAGGGTGGAGTGGGTTTCGGGGATTGCTGGAGCTTTGGGTTGACGGCGACGAAGTTGAGAGAAGAGGATGCCATTTTTGTTCGTCCCTAGGAAAACCCCTACCCAGCGACCCAGCCAACTCCGCCACCTTCCGGCTTCCCCGCCCCCCGACGTAGCTTCTCACGGTATTTCGGTAATACCGGTTTGTAACCGTTTACCGGTAATTCGGTAATCGGTAAACCGGTTACAAACCGATATCGGTAATCGATTCCAATTTAGCCACTGTCGGTATACCGAAACCGGTAAATTCGGTAAACGGTTTACCGTTTACCGACCGAATACCACCCCTATCTGATGCCATCCCTTATGGTGACGGAAATGAATATTCTGTCTATCCCTCATCTCTTTATTCTGGAGAGTCGATACGACGGCAGAGAATCTCTAGGCAGTTCTTCGATTTGGTGGCTTAAGATTGTAGGCGACTCAATAAGAATCGCTGCCGATGAAGAAAGGAGGACGCAGCAGTGAAGATGATGGTTATTGACTTATTGTTGAGATTTGGGATGGAATTGATGTTTTTTTTTTTTTTTGTATTTGTTTCTTTCGGCTTATCAGGAAGGAATTTGGTGCTGGTTAAGTTTGGGATCGATTTGGATTGGGAGAGTAATAGTCGACTGAATAGCAGAGAGTCAGAATCCAGAGATGGCGGTGGGAGGGTGGAGACGTGGAGTGTGGTGCCTGGTGAAGATAAATGAAAAGATGAATTGTAAAAGAAAAAAGTTACTTCCCACTCTCGCCTTTATTTTAGTTTTTGGTAATCATCGGTTCCCTTTTTACAAAGAGAAGAGCAAAATGTATCTTAAATATCCTATTTAATATTATTTAGTACTAAATATATTGAATTTTTAATAAAAATAATATAAAATGATCACGCTCTCCTCACGCTCTTGATAGTGAATTCTTTTAAAACAGACGCTTTCGCGCTCTCGCTCCCGCTCCACGAACTGGTTACCTAAGTTTGTACCTTACAAGATGTTGTATTCAATGTTTAGATTTCACTTAAATCCATGAATCCAATCCACCATAACATAAAGTATAAATTTAGTTTGTACCATGCAAGATCTTGTATCTCTCAATTGTAGGAGAAGATTCGACCATTTTATATTTGCTCATTACGTGAAACATATAATAAATGATAAAAGAGAGGCGCCTCTAAAATATTGCAAGACCGAATTTATAAACTCATTTAGTACACTTCCGGTGGTACTAAACAAACTTCTATTAACATGTAACAAAATATGCGACTACATAAGCAAGTTTCAATAAATTGTTATGTGAAAATGGTTGATTGTTGTATTGACGGCCAACTAAAAGAATTGGTCAAAACTCAAAACCTTTCCATTATCTACTTCCTCTTCGTTTCATTTTTCACTCGCCTTCCATAACCCTTTCTTTATTTCTTTCTTTGCCTTTTTCGTCTAACCTTAATTACTATACTATTTTTATCTATTCTAATTACAAGTATGAGCGGTTCCATACACGACTCACCAACAGTCTAAAGAATTAATAATTGAACCACTACTTATTAGAAAGTCTCATTTAGACTATGATATTTGAAGGCGTGAAATTTTAAGCGAGTTCCAATTTGTATTCCTTTTCCTTCTCTCTAGAGTTTTTCTTTTTCACCAGCGGTAGAATTTTCAACATTTATACATGGAATGTTTGGGTAGTTATCTACACATATCAAATAAATAGTTTCCATTTTTCTATAAAAAGGTAAATAATTATTCGATAAGAATATATTAGAATTAATATTCAGAGTTTGGACTTCATAATTTTATGCATGTTTGTTTAAGAGAGATATATTATATTATAGGATTGATGATTTTGAATACTATTATGCGTATTCTACTTTTAATATGCTTGTTTATAAAACGTTTTTTAATATGCTTGTTTATAAAACGTCGGTTCGTTAATGATTTTTTAACGATTTAATAACAGATACACTAATAAAGAGTAAACCACTCATTACACTGGTTCATACTCTCGTTCGATTCTAAAAACATTGAATAAAACTATAAATAAATAGAATAAGCTTCCGGCCATTTATATTAATCTTTTAAAATATTTTTTTGGGTTTCATGAGATGATTTAAATATATTTAACCACTAAAATAACTTTTACTTTTCTAGGATTGTGGTAGCATTTTGTCAAAATTTGGACAATCTTCACACTATTTACTCTCCAATAATAATTCCCAAGCTTAGCCTACCCATGTGTACCTCTTAGCATTAATCCTCGCAGTATAAACAACTAATAATACTCCCACATTTCGGATCGTATTCATACTTTAATATTCATCACAAACCGCCGCTAAACTAATCCCTTCCATGTGGTTTACATACAAAACCACAGGAGATCGTGCAGGTAAAAGGACAACACGAGACCAAAATTCTCTCGGTCTAAAAAGCATGCACCAATTGCATTCTCAGATCAGTGAAGTAAGAAAGGGTCTCCGATGGCTTTCCGTTTCCTACCCTGTTTTCTGACCTACACTACAAGTGATTCCACTGTCTGGTATACAAGAATGGTTGGTACAAGGATGACAGTTAAACAGATCCACTGCTAACTTTGGGGCGAAAATATTGACTTCATTTTTGAGAGAGCTCAGCCGAGGATTCAAGCTCAAGACCAGAGTAAAGTCTCATTTGTTAACTAGACAAAGATGGCCTCCAACTTAGCACATGGATTCGCTTCCAGGTGATTCTGTAAGTCGATATCGGAAAATTTAAAAGAGTAGAGCGCTTGCCTCTGCGTCAACCCTACAGGGTATACTCTGTAGACTTTGTAATCGTCTTCTCCTCCTCTTATGCTTTCGGGTCTCTCGTCTCTCCAAATTGGTACGTGTTTCATGGACTTGAACTTCGTCAGCACCTCATGCTCCAGTGCGTCCACTGTCAAGTTTCCAGATCTGGCATTGCGACAGTTGTATTAGCAATTTGCTCTAGACTAGATTGAGATTTCGAACTATGGTTTTCAACTTTCAGAATCGGGGAGGATTGTTGCCATGTTTGCTTCTTCATGGGTATTGATGAACTAGCTGTAGTTTCTGTACAAAAAAAAAAGAAAAACGACTGCAGAGTTGAAGAGGTTAGTTACCTTAAGAAAATTGACTCCATCTTGAACCTTCCTCGCTCTCTAACATGTACATGATGTATGATCTCGGAGCCTCGAGTGCATCTGCAGGGGCGTTTCTTGAACCCCGGGCTACTTTCTTCTTTGTCATGGATCATAGTAGCAAGGTGAATGCAAAGACGGCATGAAGAATGTACTGCTGCCATATCCACCAGCGCCTTGAATGAATCAGACGGGCCCTCGAACTTCCACCTAAACACAAACGTGCATCTCGCTTATTCATAAGTCATAGACAGAAGATAAATTCCTTCAGTTAAGATGACAACAAAGATGTGGAATAGCACCTTAGCGACTGATTATATGCAGTAGGGTTTTCAGACAGATTGTTCATGGTCTTCGCAACAGTCTCAACATCTTCGAGGGATTTGATATGTAATACTGACCCTGGCCCAGGGGCATAATCTTGGATGTTTGGAGCACCAACAACCACCGGGATGGTTCCTATAGAAATGCAATACTTATCAAATGACTAGCACTCGCGATTCAATGACTGTAATGTAGAAAGGTATAGATGATTATGTTTGTTGCTAATGACTATTTTTACTTTCATTTTGTATTTAATCGTGAAACCACAAACAAGATTGAACACAAAATAGAAGTAAACGACTCAGAAAAAGAAAGCAGTGCGATTTCTAGAGTAATACCAGCAACGAGTGACTGGAAGAATTTCTCCGTAACATAATCCTCCTCGTTAGAATTCTCAAAAGCCAAGCTAAATTTATAGTGCTTCAGAGCCTCCACTTTGTTCACTACAAGAAAAACAAATGATTAAAACACAGAATGGTACCATACGGCAATTGAAATGCCATGCAAGTGAAAACTTACCACATAAATTAAAGAACAAATTAACTATGTGTGGCATACAACAGTTTTCAATAACAAGAACCCAGTCTATTGACATCATTCCTTGTGCTTAACCTGTTACCTTGAGATTCAAGTGAGCATTTCACCACTTAACCATTCTGCCTGTAACTCCCAATCAACATTTGAATGCTAAATAAAGTTTAACTTTTAACATTTAAACTTTAAAGAAAGCTGCCGGACTTGTCTCATCTAAGTGAAACAACAACCATCCTACAAAAGATAATTTTCATGGAGATCTCATCCACCAAAACGTTCTCTTGAGGATTTTCATTGCCAGGAGATAATAGTATGTTTGAGATAAGCACGTCATTTGATTCTCAAAACTTAAAGGTGTATCAAGCTCCATTATTAAAAAAAAGTAACCTAAGAAATTACGAACATTAAAAAGGACCATAATTCAGCGGACAAAGTTAGATATGCAATGTGTTGCCAACCAAATTGGTTTGCTCACCTCTACCATCACGGTTCCGATGGCAAGCACCGTAAGAATCTATTGGAATTTTCAATTTTTCAAGGGCATCGAGAACTTGCAAGCGGAAGTTGCGAGCACCACAGTTTGAAATGAATGCAGCTGCAAGGGCTTTCTCAGTCTTTGGCTCAGGAGGTGCCATGATATCATACTCCGCCCAGGAAAAATATCCCACCGGCACATCTGAGGATAGACTTGTAGTCATTACTATACGATATCCCCTTCTAAAATGTAGCAATACAAAAAGGTGAGAATCAGTTTTCCTCTTAATTCACCAACACATAAATCATATCATCATATCTCCCAAAATAAATATTATATCATCAATTTCATTTCATTGACAGAAAAAGCATTAATCTCAATCAGAATTTCGCATAATCATCACTGCTGTTACTAGTTCAAGCGACTAAACTATTACATGAACTTCAAAAAAAGGAGTAATGAACATCTCCAAGCACCTAGCAATGATTTTTTACATTGTATTATATATGGACTCCCAAGCACAAATCCTAGTTCTGCTCAATTGATCCAAGTAGAATTACCACAAGATAGAACTTCGGAACCAAGGCTCTTTGCCATATCCAAGACATTATTTGACAACAATTTACATTCTTCGGCACTCTAATTGAACGAGAAGTGGGAATATACAGAGAAAAAGTGTATCTGTATTTGTCTATAAATAAGAAAAAGAGGCTCATATCTTATTGTATAATCCCTGGCGGTAAATGTTTTTCCGTTACCAGGACCTAAAGCAAGATGTAACAGCAATCACATGAGATCAATACACACAGGAGATCCAAAGAAAGAGCAGAAAGCAGGCAGAAGAAACAAATCACTAACAAGAAAAAGAAGAATATCAAAACAGAAATCAACTATAAGAACAGAACAAAGTAGTCATAAGGCAATTGTCCACTTACAAAGTAGGCTGACCAGCGAAACTAGAAACAATTATTAGCGTTTTCCTAGTTAAGAAGCTGAAGCAACCAGAACTATAAACAAACAGCGAGGAAATTCTGAATCTGTTAAGCTCTATGTCATTGAAATGACATTCAGCAATGAAACGTTTACATCAGAAAATCTCAAGTGCTAGATCGAAAGTGCAAAACATTTTCCAAAACGCAACAAAGGCATTATTCTTAGATTGTGCTTACCCACCGTCGTGCCGTAGCAATATCATTCTCTGGATAGTACTGAGCCGATTCCATTGATCGATGCACATTGACAGTTGCTGACAGTTCATTTAGCATACCAAATAATGCATCAGGAGTTCTGTTGGAGTCATATCCAAATTGACACCCTACAGAACAAGTCCTCCACTCCTGCGAATAAATTGGATGTAATCCCAGTTCAGATGCTCAAGTGAGACATAGATAAGACCAGAAAGTCTCAAAATTGAGAAGCTGCCAAAGCAAATTTCTCATACTCTTACATGCATTAAGTAAGAATAGATCGTTCATTTAATGCAAAACTGAAATACTAAGTGTCCTATTATGTAAACCTTCCTTCTTATGGTTAGATACACACAAATGTAAGAGATCGAATCGAGAGCACAAAATTGGGGAAAAGAGCATCAATAAGGAACGGGAAAACAAAAACAACTGAATGAAACAAATTTCAAAACCAACCTTCTCAGCACCGGCGACCAAGATGGGATCCCGATCAAAATCCCGCGAATAAGCCACATCATCCTCTCTCTCTAACCAGTCCTCACAAGTTTCCGACCCCAAAACCATATCATTTCTTTTAACCACCGGAAAATTCCCCCTTAAACCAGGCGGCGACTGGTAAAGAAAGCTATCAGCCCACGAATCAACCCGAGCAGCAGCATTTTTAGCCATGTCGAGACGACCTAAAAAGACGATCTCCGCTAGAACCACAAGGGCGATGAAAAACGGCAAGAAATTCGACCATTTCCTCTTACCCACCGCCTGCCCAGCTGCCGGCGATGAGGAACCGGACGACAGCAACAACCCATCTTCTGGATTTCTCAAACTCCTTAGATTTGACAGAACACCCATCAATTCTCCAAAAAAATAAAGAAAGTTCCTCTCTTTCCTCCTCCCTCAAGTTCGATTGATAATCTCTTTCTCGCTCTCCCAGGGACCAAAATTGGGAGAGGGTGAGGGGGGAGGAAAGCGACGGAATAAGCGATCGAGCTATGCAAACTAATAACCGAAGCTGAAACCGTCGAAAGATGAATTCATGTGGGGCAATAAATGAAGGGTCTTTAAGGAGAGGACCGAAGAAGATGTTTCTCGGAGGTTTTCCCAGGAGGGGCAGGTTTTTAGTGTTCTAAACAGATAGACGTTTGGTCTGGTATGAACTATGGATTTTTTTTGTGTTTGGTGAAGGAAGGATGAAGGAGACGGCAACTAACAGTGGGAGAGGAGGAAAAGAACGGAAAACTTTTTCATGGTTTCTCCATTTTCCGTTTTTTCTATTCTTTCTGGTGAAATCTTTCCATTCCTCTGCCGCTTTCTCATTGTCTTCACTCCTTCACCTTCAGGCTCCCGCTGAGTGCAGACGTCAACATTGGACGACTTTGATTGAAGATAACAGTTACGCCACCAAATTAAGTTTTATGCACCCATCGGTACTAATTTTTTAGCTCACTTTTAAGGGGTTCTTTGAAAGTTGGGATTGTTTTGTTGAGATTGTCATTATACATGTATTGTTTACAATGCATCGTTTTTTTTTTAGCAGTAACATTACATGAAAAGTTTCTATGATGTGACAGAAATTATCACTCATTTTGAGTGATTGTTATATCTCAACTTTTAGTTGTGATTGTTTTGTCTCAGCTTTTAGCTGATGCGACATACACAATCACACATACCAAATGTTGTATTCTACAATGCATCAAATTCGACAATACATGTATAATATTATACATGCATTCTCAACAATACATCTATTTAACAATCGCAACTTCCAAACGACCCCTAAGAGTGGTATTGAAGATGAGATTGTTTTAGGATGGTATCCATTTGTGGGACGGATGTATACCACAAGGTCCAGTATACAAAATTGATACGCAATGAATGGACTAAATTGGGATGCGAGGGTGGCAAGCTTGATTGATGAAGAGGCTAGGATTTGAAAGAATAATCTTCTGGAGAGTTATTTCTAATTGAAAGATCGAAAAAGAATCATGTAGGTGATAGAACATGGTATTAGGGTTCTATCGGGTCTGGTTGTGAGATTGGGAATTAGGGATTCAAGAATAGAATTAGGGTTTTGAGAATAGAAAGATAGAGAATCGGCCTAGACTTTTAGAGGGATTGGGAATGAGAATTGAGAGGATTGAGAGAGTAGGGTTAAGTGATTGTTTCTTAATATTCTTCTGGACTTTCCTGAATGAAAGACCAATTACATAATTATAGCGAAAGACTAGAAAAACCTAATAGACTATCCTAATATGACTCAATAACTTTTACCATATCTAATAATATCCTAATTATAGTAATAATAATTATTATGATAAATCCTAAGAATTGGGTTTCCATCATCCCCTCCCCCTTGAGACCAACCTTGCCCTCAAGGTTGACCGACTCGACCCATTTCTTCACATCGTCCGTGTAGACCGCGCCTTGCCTCCTCCACTCCTCGCGTTTTCTTTTCTTCCAATCATGCTCTAACTCTTCACTTAGACTTCTTGCACCACTCTTCTCGTGTGGACCCAACTTTTCGAATTTCACTTCCTTGGGCCCACTACTCGCTTCTTTCTTGTACATGAATCCATCCTTGAGCATCAATCTGTCAAGAACTTCAAACTCTATGTCGATGGCCCATGCAGCTTTACTCTCCTCGATAGGGCTTTTTGCAAACCCAGTAAACTCATCTTCTTCCATGCTCACATTCTTTAAAATGCTCACCACATTAGGCTTAAACCCTTCCTGACTAGGCCCAACCCAAGATAATATAGCCACTATTAAACTGCCCGTACGTGGGCCGAGACTTAGCCCTTGCAAAGCCCAGTTCGCTTCCAACTTTAGCCCATGGCAGAGATTGTATTTTGTCATCAGAGGCCCCACTCGACTTGGCCCACTCAAAACACAACCCGACCCATGTGAAACCCAATTATGAACGAGCTTTGGCCCATAAGAATTGTAGGGTTTCACTTTTGGTAGGGGAAAGAGGGCTGGTTGGCCGCATGAGAAAAAACCCCTGCTGCAGCCCTTCTCCTTCTTCTCCATGTTCGCCGATTCCTGGGGCGGAAACTCCCTCTCTTTCGCATTCGCCGGCGACAACCAAGGCTCCCGACGGCAAGGAAGAAAGCCGACACCAATATCGACCGGGGCTTTTGCGGCTCGCACGACATAAGCGACCATCGAACCCGCCGTCAGCTCCTTCTTCCTCTTCGACTCCAGCACCCCCTTTGGCGGTGAAGAGCTTCCTCGACGGCTAGTCTCGCCGGTTTCTGTTGCCGACCTCAACTCTGACGAAGAGTGAGAAAGCTCCCCGACGTCGATCTCCTTCTCTCCTTTCCGGACGAGGGCTTATTCCCCCAATGGCATCGAGGCGAGCTCCCCTCCACCGTCAACTTATCCCTGCCGATCGACGAAGTCCGCCGCTGAACCACCTGATCGGAATTTCCCTCCGAATGCAAATCCGCCATCGGCATCTTCCTTATTTCTTCCTCTGCCGGGCTCGGCGATGCACACCGCCGCGCCGCCGGCGTATCCTCCTGGTCGGTTGGCGGCGCTAGTAGGGCCTCACCGCGGCCGTCGTCCTTCCGCGCCCCCGCCGTCGCCAGCCGGGCAAGCGCCTCAACCTGCCGCGCCATGCTGCTCGCCACCACCTCCCTGCCGCGTGCGCGTGCCGTCGCGGTCTAGTCGGCGCAGATGGCATCGAGTCGTTGCGTCATACGGTTCCATACTGGATCAGAGAGCCACGAGGAGCTCATGTTGGCTCTGATACCAATTGATAGAACCTGGTATTTGGGTTCTATCGGGTCTGGTCGTGACATTGGGAATTAGGGATTCAAGAACAGAATTAGGGTTTTGAGAAGAGAAAGATAGAGAAGCAGCCTAAACCTTTAGAGGGATTGGGAACGAGAATTGAGAGGATTGAGAGAGTAGGGTTTAGGAGATTGTTTCTTAATATTCTTCTTGACTTCCTTGAATGAAAGACCAATTACATATTTATAGCGAAAGACTAGAAAAACCTAATAGACTATCCTAATATGATTCAATGACTTTTAACATATCTAATAATATCCTAATTATAGTAATAATAATTATTATGATAAATCCCAAGAATTGGGTTTCCATCAGTAGGTTCCACTGCGTACTCACCCTTTCGAAGATACATGGATATGGGGACTTGAAAAACTAGGAAGATACTATGTTAAATCTGCTTACCATCTATGGACAAGGAAAAGAGAGAATGTTGAAGGAGAGAAGTACATCCCAATTGACTGGAAATGGCTCTGGCATCTGAAGATACCCCCTAAAATCAGGGTATTCATTTGGAGATGGGGAAGTAATAGGGTCCGGATCCCATCCGCCGTCCATTGCAATCATTACCAACTCTGTCGGTAACCAACCTTGGACCCTTGGTATTCTATTCCGACTGAGGATAATCTCCCTCTAGGTAATCTATTCAAGAGGGTTTGGTATGCTTTAATTGAGATTCCAAAATAATTCCAAACTTTCTGCAGTACAAGTGTCAACTGAAATTAACTAGGGAGTAACCAACATCGGCATAACTACGAACTAGGGGGGGGGGGGGGAACATACCCATGTGATCTTCTCACATCTGAATTCGAATCTAATTACCTGTTTGTTTTAATAAACTTCACTGCAACTGCTTGCTAGATAATAGACATTTCACTAAATAATAGTACATCTAAGGCACTGGGTTGACATTTAAGACTTCTTTCCAATATACTTCTTCCCAATCTACTGTTACACCTGGTCACTTATTAGAGTCGTAGTAAAAGTGAGTCAACTTTTAACTGAGATTGTTGAGATAGTTGAACATATTTGTTCATAACTTAAAAACATGGTAGCAATTTCACTTATACACCTTGTTTTTACATAGTAGTAATCAAGTGTAGGGGTGGGCAACGGGAAACGGGTATTTGGGTATACCCATACCCGTCCCATTTTTTGAGGGTTACGGATATCCAAATCTCCGTAATTTTTTATATGGGATGGGACTTGGGATCAAGAAATTCTACAACGGGTACCCGTAATACCCGCCATCTCTCCAAAGTAGTAATGAAAGATAAGGTTAATAAGCTTATTAAACTTATAGCTTAACACTTATTAAACTTATAGCTTAACACTTAACACTTAGTACGTAGCCATCATGAAAGATAAGCTTAAACTTATATCCAAATCTCCGTAATTAAGCAGCAGCAGCAGGCATGTATGTTTTGTGATTTGTTTTAGGTTATGGGTAATTAAAATAGTTGCAAATCTCAACATATGACTCCCAAAAAAATTTTACGAGGTAGGATATTACTATGGATGAGGTGATTTAGTAAGCAGTTGAGTAGAACTAGAATCTCACTGCTCTGTCATCTATGGCCACAGGCCACTTAGCCTAATTATTGTAGCCTAATTATTGTAGCTTAATTATTATGGGTACCCGCGGGTACCCGTTATCCGTCCCGTACGGGTAATGGGTACCCGTTATCCATACGGGTTTGGGACATGGGATGGAGTTTTCTCTCCAAATGGAATTGGGTACCCGTTCCCGTCCCGTTGCCCACCACTAATCAAGTGTAGGGTGAGTTTAGTTGAGTCTAAGGATGAATTTGGCTATTTAATTCATCATGTATGTAGCTTAATAGTGCGCTAGGATATTTCTTGTCACTTTTCTCTTGTGTATGAAATCCAACAAGGAAAGGGACTCTATAGAGGAGAGAGCACACACTTTCCTCTTTCCGAATATCAATCCCACCTAGCCCTCCCCACCGGCTAGAGAGAGTGCCTGAATGAGTTCCTCCTTTCCCAACTAAGTGTGGAAGACCTTATCCGCTTGAAGCTCAACAAGCTGGATTAGGTCAACATCTTAGGCATCCATGAGAGGATTTACTGTGCAACTCAGGTCCAATGCTTAGCCGTTTATATACCTTTTCATTTTCTTTTATGTGAAATGACAAGTGTCATATCTTTCTTTTATTGTAAGTACTTAGAACTGAAATATTAGCTTGTGTAAATAACTGTATGTGTAAAGTAGATTTTTTATTTTATATTGTGTCGTATAACCCCTATCTTTCTATCTTGTGAATGTTTTCTATTTTTAGATGCATAGAAGAATTACATTCGTGTACCTTTCAACCAACCCACTCGTTGTGATGGTAAAAATTTTGAACCCTACTTCGAACCTCCACATTGAGGATAATATGTCTTTTAAGTGTGTGTGTGTGTGTGTGTGTGGGGAGGGGGGCATCACATTGCTTCTATCGTTCATGAATGATGTCATTGATTGATTCTCTACGATGAATGAATGTATTTTTTATGTATGAGAATGTGATTGTTTGAATGGTGCGTGAATAGTTAATTATTCATAGAAGTAACTTTATTGGAACCTAGTATTATGCTCGAAATTTTTCAAATTTGAGGGTTTCAAGTAATCTCCATAGCTTATAATGTGGCTACTTACTTTGAATCTGTGAATTTGAAGTCTCCTACTATATCAATGTTGAAGAGTGTAGTGCGTGAAATGTTTGAGGATGAATTATCGATGTTTGATTCTTTGATGTATCATGGTTCAGATCTTGAAAAGTGGTTGAGTGATAGGTTTGTTTGTGTGTAAACCTTGATTTTAAGGTGTAGGTCTGTTGAAAGTTTCTCACTTTTTGTAATATTTCACAACCAAAATTTTAAACAAAATTAAGTGGATCATAGATTATTCTGTAAAAGTTTACGTGTGAGGCACCGATTAGATATTTCAAAGTATCCTTAGTAGTAGTGATGCAAAAACGACTACTTTTCATTGCATGCCAATTAGAGGTGATTCACATGGGTAACCCACTCAGTTTAGGCTTGCTATTGTTCAAAGAAAGGTCATCCTCATGTTGTGGCCCCTCCATACGGGCCGAAGTATAGACATTGGCGGAGGGAGAGTACAAGAGGGTAATGATTAAATTAGGTACAATAGTTAATTGATACAAAAAAATTAGGAGTATCTAACCGACAATAGTTTGTCAAAAGGTCTTGTGTTCGAATCTTGGTGACCTCATTTCTTAAGCACACGGTATTCCCATTTGTGCAAACTTCTATTCCGTATAAGCTGACTTTCTTAATGACAGAGTGTGCTAGTCAATGGTATAAGATATTGTTGAATTTCTCTCAACAACTTGAGTTATGAATATTAAATGATTCATAACAAAGAACATCATTCGAAGGCGAACAACTAACTAAATCATGAATTATTGTTTTGTGTTAGAATCATTATTAAACTTCTCTCAACAACTCGAGTTATTGATACTTAATGGTTATTTAGAAAGAAACCTTAAAAGAGAACGACTGAATAAATCATTAATAATTGTTTGGTGCATAGACACTGGCGGATCTAGGGGTTGGCCACATTAGGCTCTGGCACCCCCAGCCCTTTGATGGGGCCAAAGTTAGTATAGCACTTATAAATTTTTCAATTTTAGGTATTCGACCCAGTGCTATTCAAATGTGGCCCATTGTTATTTTCTATTCAAATGCGGTCTAGTGCTCTACTATGTCCTGGATCTGCCGATGTGCACAGACTTACATTATTGATATTTTTGACTACTAATGCATTTAAATTTACCAAAATTTTCCAATATAAGATTTTATCATGAACGATTAGTAAAATTAACAAAAACTATTTTATCATATGCATTTTTCTTCTAAGTGGACCCACCTTATACCAAATTCTAGCTACACCAAGGGGTCGTTTGCTTCTAGGATTTTAGAAAATGAGGGATTATGATAAAACCTTGGATTTTGAATATGAGAGATTATGTGGGATTTTGATTATGTTGGATTTTGAAACTTCCATATTTGTTTGTAGGATTTGGTAATGGCTTTTAGTAGGTTGGAATTATGGCTTGATGGGGGAAATTACTTTCTTATCCTTAATGAACCACTTTTTACTTTACTTGTATTTTGAATGTTTTTGTATATACATGAAGAATTAGCATATGTAAAAATGGCAGCAACATCCATACTATTTGGTCATATTGTATACACGCAAGAAGCCATTAAAGTAAATTGAAACTCTCAACCCAAACCAATAATGTCGAAAGGAAAATCAAGGGTTTGGATTGGATTATAAAAAAAGAGGATGTAAGCATGAAATAATTAATTGTTGAGCTTCATATAAAAGGAAGACAAAACGACGATAGGCAGAGATGGAAAAGGTTACCGGAGCTTTTTGCTGTGTTGCAATCCCTTGGCAACGAAGAGACAAAGTTGGTGAGATGAGAGTGTATACAAAAGTCCTCAGTAGAGATAATAATAACCGAGGGAAAAATTGGATTACACAAAATGAGTGGGGGTAACACGGTCATTAAACATCATGGATTATATCTATCTTCCAAAATCCTAGCTATAGAGGTAAGATTTTATAATCCATGGGGCCCACGGATTTTAGGTCCAAATAATCCAATATTAGTGGACCCCACAGATTGAAACAAAATCCATTATATGCTAACAAACATGGATTCATTATAAAGTCCAACATATGTTGGATTTTGGGCCAAAATCCAACACCAAAATACCAAAAGCAAACGACCTTAGTGTAGATACGCGGAAAGAGCGCAAAAAAAGACGCCCCTACTTGACCAGTATAAGGCAAAAAGAAAAAAAAATGAAGTTGTTACAACCCTAAAGAAAAATACAAAAAGAGAATATTGGTTGTGGAGAAGTTGATAATAGAAAATTTGATTCTCCTACCAATACCAAGGAGTCTTGTTGTACACCTTACCCCTATCTCTGATCATTTCAAAATCTTTTCAAAGAAAACTGATTCTCCTACCAATACCAAGGATTGGATGGTTTTACATCCGACCCCGGTCTCAAACGGTCCGGGTTTTTATGGTTCGAGGTTTTACATCCAAAAAATTTTGGATGTAAAACCTTACCCCTATCTCAAACGGCGATCTCTCTGATGATTTTAGGCTCTTATCCGATTTCACGGTTTTGACCCAGTTTTAACACAGACCGGACTGATAAGGTTTTTTAGCTAATTCTGGGACCAAAGAATCATCCCCAAACACACCGTCAATCCCAATAGGTTGCTCGTCGCAAGAGATCGCCGACCAAGGCTTGCTCGTCGCGCCATCACCTATCCTCATTTCCTGCCCGTCCTTCCTCCTTCTTCCTTCCAGTTCTAGAGCTTCATCTTGACACCAGGCAGCTAGCGCCAATCTCCAGCTTCTATTCGTCCTTCCTCCTTCATTCCAGCGCTGATCTCCAGCTTACGTCCATCCAGGCTCCCAGATCCATGGCTCCATGGTCAAAACTGGACTGTATCCAATCCTGTCTTTGGTCCCCATATTTCCAAAAATAACAGACCGGGACTGGGTCAATTCATGTCAGTTTAACCGGCCCAGACGGTATAGCCACCCCTATTCTTCGGAGTCAAATTGGTGATCCCAACATGACTATGTTGGTGGGCATGCTCAAGACTGTCATAATTAAGAAGAATTGACAAAGTGGAGTTGAAAAAATCATGCCAAGCTGTATCCGACCATAGGCATTGCCGCCTTAAGGTGTGGCAAGCGCTCCATTTAAAGGATTTTTAGCCAATTTGAGAGAGACTCTAACCATTTTTTGACCTAAAACCTAAAACACGAGTTAAAGAGGAGAAAAGAGTAGCTTTGCCTGTTTGGTCAAACCGACATGAACTAAACCTAAATTCAGTTTAGAAGAGCCAAAATAAATTTGTATTTGATTTAGATTCGATCGTGGCTTCGAGTGTCCTATAGGATAAATTTTGGGTAGGTTAAGTTCTACTTTACTTAACCAAGCCAATGCCTACCCCTACCCACCCAAACCCATCAAACCTCAATCATGAGTATCAATAGTCAAGTTTCATGTTTTACTCTTCATATCTTGGTGTAATTCAACGAAACACAAAAGTTTTAAATTTTTTTGTTAAACTTCAAATCAACTTCTTATCAGTTTGCTAGATATACAATTCGATTCAATTCGACTTGCGATTCGGAGCAAGGGTGGTTGTTCTGGTTTGAATTTTCATTTATAGGTAAAAATCTATAACTCTTAATAGTTTTGGTTTCGGTTAAAATAATGGTTGTTGTTAAGTGTAATTGGTTGCGATGGTTTCGGTTAAAATAGAAACTAGTTAACAAAGCGATGAACAACGTATAAGCCATAATCCAATCAAAGATTCATTTTTTATTTGTCGATTAATTATAACCAAAATCGAATCCATTAAGAGCTTATTAATTTTCTATTAAACTCTTAAAGTTCCGGTTTTGATTTCGGACAATTGACTAATCCAAGTTTTGATTTCTAATTATTTTTAGTTTGGTTAACCGTATTGAACCAAACCCCACTCCTAATTTGGAATAAACAACTAGTCCCTAACTTCTTGTTTACTCCAAAATAAATATCATTAATTATTACACGTATGAAGAGCTTGGCCACTTTAAGTAGTTGGACCATGTGTACATGGATGGTCCAATTTATCTGGTTGGGCCGTAGGTTTGGTGGATATTATAGCTAAGTATGAGGTAACCACCAAAGATGGTTAATGTACCAATCATGGTAGCCATTCAACCCTATATTGGATGGTACCACCCCAAATACAATGGACACTATCCAAATTCTATTATGGATGGTACCATCCCATTCGTCATGGACACCATCCAACTTCTAAATTTGATGGTGTCATCCAAGATCATGGATATCAACCTAACCCTATGGTAGATGGTATCTTCTACAACCATAGAAACTCAAAGTGGATGATGTCATCCAATAACATGGATACCATCCAACCCCAACGGGATGGGATCTTCCCATATCATGGACACTATCCCAACTGTTAAATGGATAGTGTCATCCATGTTATAGTATGGTGACCATCCATGGACTGCTGTCTTAGTCAACATGGATACCATCCAAGTTGTTTGGTGTACGGTGACCATCCAATTTTTCATCCATGGTACATTAGGGTTGATTGTCCAGTGACATGATGACGTGTCAAAGTTGGTTACCAGAAGTAGCAACTGACTTGCGAAGGATGATCTGAGAGGAGTTAGTGGATGCTACGTGGAGCTTATTTTTGAGAAGAGTGAGAGAGAAGGCGGTTAGAGGGGAGGCACAACAAAACTTGCAACAACTTCTGATGGATAGACGGACAAATCAAACCACGACAAGTCTCGTCAAATTTTATCTTTCTCGCTCTAGAATCGTTGTCGTAGCAATAGTACCATAGACCCTTCATGAGGCTTCTCTGTAATCGTAGTCAGTAGTTGCGGAGCTCTCAAATAATCACCATATGAATAGAGGTAACAATAAGTAGATCCTTTAATGTATGTATCGAACACCCTCATTCGAACAATATTTGAATTGGTGTGAACCGAGTAACATCATTTTCTGTTTTCTTAAAGTTAAAGTGCATTGATCGCGAAATTACATAAAAAACATTCATCCAACTTTCGAATTCATATGTCCATTTGAATTAATTTATTATCAAATGGAATCAAGAGAATGATTTGTCATTATCAAAACAGGCGTACAATGACGCCTTCATATGTATTAACAATTCCACTCAAAAAAGAAGGCAGGATAAGTTCTTATCCCACCAAAAAAAAAAAACAAAGAGAGTTAAAGTTCTTAAAATAAGTTAGCAAGGTTATGCTACTTCTTGTCTTAAGTTTCCTGTTCTCTTCCTTCAAAATTAACTATTATTTACTATTATTATTATAAAAAAAACTATTATTTACTATTATTATATATGTTTAAGAAATTTAGTTGCTTTCTTAATCGAAGAGTGTTTATGGTAACTAAACAACTTTTGCAGTGGGATTTGTCACTTTTGGCCAGTCCAAGCAGTTTTGTGAGCCTCATTTGTCACTCACTCGAAGAACTTAATATAATAATTAGCTAGTTTTCAGATTATAGGCTCGCCAATCACTTTGGTATTGTTTATGTGCAAGTAACAGTATTAAAAAAAAAAGTCTATAGCTCTTTAATTTTCTAATTCATGTAAAATTATATGTAAATTTTGTTATTTGAAATATACAGTAGGTGATAAGTATTTAATTCCTTCTCGCCAATTCAAAATATGAGAGTAGAATTTTAGTCCACCTCGTTCAATTTCTGACTTCTCCACTGTTAGTAAATATAGTAGTAAGAGTGGCAGAAGTTAGGGATGACAATGGGTCGGATTGGGCCGGGTTTTGCCAAACACAAACTCATGAGTTTATCCGTAAAAAAAACTCGGGGTAAAGTTCACTGGGTTTGGAAAACTCAAACTCAACCCAACCCGCTGGGTATCCGCGGGTTCATGGGTATCCATGTGTTTTTTTGTGATAAAAAATTTACAATAAAAAGTTCCTATCAAAATAAAATTCAAACATCAATTTACTCATACAAATTATCCATACATAAAACACAAGTCTAGAATATTCAAACAAATCACAATTACACTAAATAAAAGCACATGGAATAAGTGTAGTGAGAGTAAGATTGGGGGAAATTAAAATTAGGGTAGAGTTTGGAAAGAGTATGTCGATGAAATAAGTGTGAGCGTGTATTTATGGGTCAGATATTCCTAAACCCAAGCCCAACCCAACCCAACCCTGTGAACAGTGTGCGGTTTTAAACCCAAATCCATCCCGAAACCCGTCAACGCAGGTTTGGTCGGGTATGGTACCCGTGAGTTCGGGTTTTGTTGCCATCCCTAACCGAAGTAGAAGAGCAACCCAAGTGTTTACCTAGTGATAATTTGGGAATAGAAACATCCATCCCACCTCAGGTTAGAACATTGAGCCAATAACTAATGACAAAAAGAAGTAGAAAATGACACTTAGTGAAACTGCATCGCTTAAGGCTTGTGGTTTTCGGTTTTTCTAAGAACACATTTCTATTTTTTTATAATCAGATCTGTATTTTATTAATGCATCACGGGCTCTGAATCCAAAATGGGTAGAAGAACACTGGTAGCCGAGATAGCCACTATTACTGGGCATCCCAATTACACTGAGTATAGGCCAAGATATGGGCCGCTCCATTACACTCTCTTTTTGCAAACCTCCATTGAACCGGGTCCAGTCGTTTCGCTTCTGCTTTAAGTTCTCGGATCAGAACTCAAGCCACTAATCTCGTCACCTCTGCCTTCTCTAGGGCGAAAAATGCGCTCTGGCAATCGGATCGGATGATGACTAAGCAAAAGCATTGCCTCTCCATCTACTGAATACAAAAGGCGATTGCTTTTATCTTTGGCAGCTCCGGAGGCCATTGAACTCGCTCCCTGGAGACCGCCATCATCAAAAATTGGCCTTTCTCATCATGAGCCACAGCTCCAGATCCCATCCCTTCAGCTTTCGGTACAACATCATCCACATTCAATTTGATCCATCCCGCCGACGGCGGTTCCCAGGTGATCATTTCTTTTTGCCTCTGTTCAGTTTCTTTGGCATGATAAGAATTGAATTCCTCCCAATAAGGAAGGGGTTTCCCCACGATTTCCCCTTTTTGTGCTTTCCGAATTGTGAACATATGGTTATTACGTTCATTCCAAATAGTCCATAGAATCATGCTTATCTGGCCTAAAGTGTTATCGTCCACCCTTTCGATTAGGGTTTAAAGTTTGGTACCTGTATTTGGGATATACCGAATATCATACCGAATTTTTCTATATTTCGTGTTACCGGATACACGTATTATTTCATGGGATTGGGATTGAGATTGAATTTTAATTGTTATTCGGTATTAGGGATTACTGGATTGGGGTCGGTATATACCGAAATATCGATCAATACCGAAATATAAACTAGTGTGTATTTTATCCTCTCAACTAGACTCTCTCATTCACTACTACGCGACCCTCAACCACCAAGACTGTCATTTAATTATACATAGAACATTTCATGATTAATGAGGTCTGTTACTCTTACCAGATTATCCTCTGTTGGTCTAGGAGTAGTGATTTTGAAACGTGTATCTTCAGCTCCTGCAACCCATCTGCCATCCCAAATTTTCACTTGTGCCTCGTCCCTAATTCTCTATCTGATTCTCTTTTTTATTGCGTTTTGAGCTGCCATAATGCTCCTCCATTTATAGCTGGGATTTGCTCCCACTTGGGCATGTAATCAATCTCGATTTGGGTAATATTTCGCTTTCAGGACCCTTCCTGTCAGGAATTCTGGATTAAGAAACAAATTCCATATTTGCTTCCCTAGCAATGCAAGGTTGAAAGCTCTAAGGTCTAAGAGGGTACATACCTTCTTTGAAACTGCTAAGCAACTTAGAGTTTCTTGTGAGAAACAACTTGTGTTTGATTGTCTAACGAGATGGAATTCCACCTATGATATGCTATCTACTGCCATTGTGTATAGAGAGGGTTTTCTCTCGTTTGAAGCGATGGGGTAGTCAATACACAACTGTCCCTACGAGTATACATTGGGATTTTGTTGTCATTGTCATTGATAAGTTGTAAATTTTCTTTTAGATTACTAAGTTGTTTTCTGGCAGCAAGTATCCCGCTGCTAATTTGTTTCCCCCCAAGGTTTGTGATCTGCGACTGAAATTGCTGGAATGGTGTGCTGATACCGATTCTCTTATCTCTGCTATGGCTGAGAGTATGTTGGAGAAACATGCTAAGTATTAGGATTATATACACTTGGTTCTGGTTGTGTCAGTGGTTCTTGATCCTATATACAAGCTGCATGTGATTGAGTATCATGCTGCTAAGTTTGGCAGTACCAATACTGACTTGGTGGCTGATAAAATTAAGCAATGTATTTGTTTTTTGGTGCTTGATTACCAAACCAAGTCCGAGAAGAACAATTCTGGTTCTTCTGCTGCTTATCGTAGTTCTTCTAGTCTTGCAAATGATGATCATGATTTTCATCTCTTTGTGAGTTGGAGGAAAAAAAGCAAAGCAACTCTGATCCATACTGAGTTGGATCACTATCTTATTGAGGAACTTATTCCTAATAGGTCTCCTGACTTTGATATATTGATGTGGTTGAAACTGAATGGCCTTAAGTACCCCCACTTTGCAAGCAATTGCAAGGGATTTCTTGGTCTTACCAATCACATCAGTGGCTTCTGAATCTGTTTTTAGCTCTGGTGGGAGGTTAATAGACCCTCATCGGAGTAGATTGCACTATGATACAGTATAGGCAATGATGTGTACCAGGAGTTGGATGATGGAGGAAATGCAACAAGGTAATCTGTAATTACTCCCTTATTAGTTTTTTTTTAATGTTAATGGTCTTTTTTGCATATGCAGAATCATCAAAGGTTGTTGTCGAGGCAATGGAAGGGGTGTTCTTAGCTCTAGCAATTGCAGATTCCAGTACTGAAGATCAAGAGGAAGCTGGTAAGTTATTTGGTTCTTAATTCTATCTTTTTTGTAATTAGTTCAATTAAGATTAGTCCTTAGTTTGATAGTTTCAATCTCTAACTTTATTTTTTTATTCTTGCATATCAAAGGGGACTTGTGATAAACAAGCATTTAATATCCCTATATGACTGATTTATTGAAAGGTTCAAGGTATAGAGCCAAACTTCCGCCCATTTTACTTGTTCAATTTCAAATGAGTTTCACTTCTCTAACTACGTTTGCTATTTTGTTTCTTGTAGTGATTGCTTTTGAAGGATGAATGTTGTTGTTGAGTTGGTTTACAGCATACTGTTGCTTGCTTTTGAATGAAAAGATCAAAGGAACTTGAGTGCTAGTAGTATAGGTTTTGGTATGATTTATGGATGATGTTATTAGGGCTGACTGCCTTTGTTTTTGAATCTCTTCCTTTTGAACTTGAAGACTAGTCAGTAGATGTATTGAGAAACATGTTATATGGGTTTTGGCTGGTGGGAAATTGGTTGCAGCCGCTTGTTTGCTTGCTGCGACCTATCACTTTTGTTTGAACTATGAAGATTTAGGTGCTGGGTGGTGGGATATGGGTTACAGCCCTAGATCTTCCTTTTGCGTTTTGGATTTCTGTGTCTTGAACAGCAATGTACTTTGAATTTCAGGAATATAGACATGTAGTCTTGTTTCTTATTGTCTTTTTTTGTTTTTTTGTTATGTTTCAGGATCCGTGGTGATCCGTGGGTTATCCGGATCCGACTTGGGACGGGAACGGTAAGCAAACTCCACTCGTTAAGACTACGGGGACGGGGAAATCCATTAGCCTTGACGGATGGGTAACGGGAGCTAACTACATGTCCCCAATCCGCTTCGTTGCCAATCTACATTGGGTCTTAACATATTAATTAAAACTAGTTTTTTGCCTGCGCTTCGCGGCGATAAGAATCTAATTATATTTAAAATATTTTTCACTTATTTAAAATTTATCCAATCCGCTTGTATTGGTTTATAAAATGCCAACAATTAGGTCGTCTAATAGCTCTTGGTAATATTGGCGGGAACAAATTTATTATATTTAAAATTTCATCCACTTATTTAAATTTTATCCTATATGCTTGCATTGTTCTTTAAAATGCAAACTATGCCGGCTAAGATAGCTCTAGATAAAATTCCCCCTTCTGCTACCATAGGAGTCTTGAATGTGTCATGATTTAGTTGAAATAAAAAAAATTCACAAAATAGTTCAAGTAAGATATTTTCATAAGTTTTATGTAGTGGTGTCATTATTATGGAATACTTACGTAACATGCTTTTGATAGATACCTAAGAAAGCTATATATTTATAAATTCTTAATTTTACATATTTTATTTTTAATTTATTTAATTTTTATAGACTGGTCTTAAATAACTTTTTTGTAATGTTTGATTGAATAATATTATTAAATTATTATTAGTCTCACATTTTATTAAAATTTATGTAAAATTAATTTATTGTACAAAGACTTTGCATAATTCAAATTGATGATATGGTGAATATTGTAGGTAATAATAAAGAAATTTTACATAATGCATTCATAATTTATGTAATTGTCATAGAATGGTATTGCATAAATCTTTTGTGATGTGTGACAAGATGATAATAATAATAATAATAATAATAATAATAATAAAATCAAGTTGTGAAAAATATAACATCTTATTAAACTAATACGTAAAGCTTAATTACTTATTGAACTTTCGCGTGATGCAAATGGATGATATAGTGAACATTGTGGTTGTAAATACGTAAATCTTCCCTAGCATGAAATGTAAAATACCTATATAGTTTACTATAGGGAAAAAGAGCTTATGGAATAAGGGGAAGGAGATGGAAAACAAAAAAAAACTACCAAAAGAATTGAGTGTAGAAAAAGCAATCTTATGGTAAAAGTTGTAAAACCTGTGCAGAAAAAATCAACGGCATATTATTTTATGTTAAAACAACGGTTTAATCGTGGTTCAACCGTTTCATACCATTAAAAACTGCTTACATGTTTAAACTTTAGTAGGAGATTTTTCTGTTCAAACCGTCGGTACGAGATGGTTTCACTTTCATAGACACACTGCATAACAAACTATGTGAACCGTTGATACATATTTAAACTTCAGACGGAAATTTTTCTGACTGGACCGTCGGTACGATATAGTTTCACAAACACACAGCATAAAAACCTGTGTGAACAGTTGGGTCGTGAATATTGGAATTGTTAAGTAAATAAGCAATAGTGAAATTACGAATCTGTGTACATTGTAAGCCAACCGAAAGAATTTGTGCGAGTACATAATAACCCAACATAAATGCGATCACACGGAAACAAATCCCCCCTGAACAGTATATCTATATGTAATTAGCAAGAATTTCGTAATGAATTGTGCCTGAATTAATTAATCTTACACATTGATTCATTCACTGTGTGTTTTCACCAAATGCCGATTGTCTAAACAATCAGACAAATTAAATCAACCACTCGCATATACTAACTTTGCCGGATTCATCAGAACGTATCCATCACCATCAGGAATGAGTTGGAATCCCATCATATTTCATCATAACGACAAGATGTACATGAATATCCTCCATCGCAGATTAACGGAACCATCGTCGGTTTCTACGGTCTCGGTATCGCCGGCTGACAGGTTGGCCGGATATGGAGGAGAGTGTCTTCATCACTTAGCCATTTATTGATTTTTCAATACGACAAAATAATAACAAAGACTACGTACTTTCTTTACCATCGCTCTTCACTAAGCAACACCATCTCCATCGCCACCCATTCTTAATCACATATATAATCACGATAAAGCTCACTACTTAATTACCTTCCTATGACGAACCTCAAAATTATGAAACCCTTAACAGCATTAATCCTTCTGCTGCTCATTCTACTTATTCGTCCTAGGAGCGCGTCCTGCGCCTGTGATGCGGTCACTAATGACCAAAACTCGTCGGCAAAAGGAAATAGCGACGAGGGAGCGTTGCTAAAATACAAACTGGCCGCAATGGCCTCGATCCTCGCGGCGGGCGCAATCGGCGTCACCCTGCCGCTGCTCGCTAAAACGACCAAAACGTCCTTGGAACCTACCGCGTCGCCACATGCCGGCGGCGGCGGTTGGTTGCTGATGGTGGTGAAGGCGTTCGCCGGCGGGGTAATTCTCGCGACGGGGTTGGTCCACATCTTGCCGGATGCGTTCGATCAGCTGGGGTCGGATTGTCTGAGCGAAGCTCCGTGGGGGAAGTTCCCATTCGCCGGATTTGTGGCCATGATGTTCGCTTTAGCGACGCTTTCGATGGAATCGTTAGCAATGGGGTTTTACCAGAGGCTGCACTGCCATCAGAAGACACATAATAATGGTGGTGGTGGTGGTGGATATGATGATGATGAAGCGGCTCGTGGTAGTCACACCGTCGCTAATGGTGACGCGGAGAATGAATTGATCAGACGGCGAATTGTTTCACAGGTAAGTCCAAGTGTCGATATATTTGTAACATTTATTTTTTATCGAGGACAAATCTGTCTTGCGACGGCAAACTCGCGTTCCAATAGATATTCTACAAAACTTGGACGTATTTAATACGAGGTTAAGCTCTGTCAGTGGCCACCAAGGGGGTAACGCAGAAGTGGCGGTTGCCATAGAGCGTATCCAGGACCTTCTAGACACAATCATGTGTCTTTACTGTACCACCCCTTGGTGGTTTTTGTAACGTTTATTATAACAAGACTGGAGCGCCGGCTACGAGTAGGGATACAATCTCATCAATTTTTTTATCTAATATTATGATGGGCGTATTATAATGTGTGTTCGTATTTTGAGAAAACATTAAAAATAATAGTGGGGCTATTAGTCTTCCTCTTTAAAAAATTAAATTCAATCATGAAAAAGGATTGTCCCGATCTCACTCTAAGTTCTGGCTTCTCATTTATTGTAACATTTTTTCTTTACATTTTGTGATGTTTATATATATATACAGATATTGGAGACGGGAGTTGTGGTGCATTCAACAATTATCGGAATATCAATGGGGACTAGTAATAGTGTAAAAACAATAAAGCCACTGATCGTAGCTTTGTCTTTCCATCAATTCTTTGAAGGTGTTGGCCTCGGTGGATCTATCTTACAAGTAAGTGTTTCCTAAACCTCAAAAATGAAACAACAGTAACAAACAATCAAAGATCGTAGCTTAGTTATGACGACGAGCTTCTTATAACCACGAGAAGAAGTCTAATTCTGCACCGGTTAAAAGTAAAGGAGGCGGAATAGTGATAGAGAGGTTTCAGGTTCAATCTTCACCGCTGTCATAGTGTTCCCTGAGGCACCCGGTATTTGCCCGGACTGTTGACGAAGATCCCGGGGTTTGGTCCAACTACGGCATCACCGAAGGTAGTGACCGTGGAGGGTGTTCCTCGTCCTAAAAAATAATAATAAAGGAAATGAGAACTTACATCATAACCTTAAAAATAAAAATCATCTAAAAATGGAAATGATGGTCGCAAAAAATCAAACGTAAATAAATAACTAATTGATTTGTGTTCCCCGGCAAGTTTACCTGGTTTCCTCAGTCACAAGTTGCGGGAAAATAATAACTAGCTAGGATGACAACAAATGATCTGCATTGGTTATGTAAACTGCAGATGGAACTGACCAAACTGCTTAATATTTCCTTTAAACTGCAGGCAGAGATCAAGTTGAGATCAAGGGTAGTTATGGCGTTATTCTTCTCGATTACAGCACCATTAGGGATCGGGATTGGGATGGCGATTTCAAGCAATTACAAGGAAGGAAACCCTAATTCCCTCATCGTGGAAGGAATGTTCACTTCAGCATCGGCTGGGATTTTGATTTACATGGCGCTAGTTGATCTACTGGCCACGGATTTCATGGGTCCAAACATGTTGGAGTCCGATTTCAGGATTCAGTTAGGAGCATATGCCGCCCTTTTTGCTGGAGCTGCATCCATGTCTGTTCTGGCCCTCTTCGCTTGATTTGATTGTAAATTTTTTGTCACTGCTTGGAAGAAATCATATAAAATCCAGAGCAGCTTGTTTAGATAAAGAAGAAAAATAGAGGGAGCATCTGCGCCAAAGGGAGAGTTCACTATGAAATTGGAATTTGAGATCTCTAATTAGGGATATCCTACCATAATTTAAAGTAAGGTAACTTACAGCTTTGTACATAGCAGATTTCACATGTCGTATTATTTAAAATATAATAGGCATTATTTAATTGTTACGTAACGTATGGTAATTTTATATTACAGTTATAAAAGATCATTACGGAACACTTACGTGATGGACGATTATTTTATATAATGAATACTAACATTGCATTACCTAAGGTATAAAGCCATTACAAAAGCTTACATAACGCTATTGATTTAACTGTTACGGAAGAAATAATTATCGTTCGTAACATTTACGTAATAAAAAGTCCTTTTACGTAATGAGTATTAACCTCGCGTTACGTAAAGTGCTAAGTCATATCGGAAGTCTTAAATAACGCTTCTGATTTAACTGTTACATAAGTAATAACTATCATTTCGTAACATTTACATAATGGATATGTATTTTTACGTAACAGTTGTAAAATGTCATTACGGAAGCCTTAGATTATGGAAGGTCCCTTTAAGTAATGAGCATTAACCTTGCCTTACGTAAAGTGCTAAGTCATTACTGAAGTCTTATGTAATGCTTCCGATTTACATGTTCCATAAGAAATAACTATCGTTTCGTAACCTTTACGTAATAGATTTGTGTTTTACGTAATAGTCATTACGGAAGCCTTACGTAATGGAAGGTCCTTTTACGTAATGAGTATTAACCTCATGTTACGTAAAGTGTTAAGTCATTACGAAAGTCTTACATAATGCTTCTGATTTAACTATTACGTATGAAATAACTATCATTTCATAAATTGTACGTAATAGATGTGTATTTTTACATAACAGTTGTAAAATGTCATTAAATAGGTCTTCCGTACTGGGATGTCGTTTTATATAATGGATATTAACACCACACTACGTAATATATTAATTCATAATCGAAGTGTTACGTAGAACTTTTGGTAAGATGAACACAATGTCACGACTTCTTGTACGACCCTCTTATCGCAATTTCATGTTTATGAAAGACTAAGTGGTCAACGAGTTAATCTTTCCAAATCCGTTGTTTTGTTTAGTAGAAATACTAAGAGTCAAGATTCCTATTCCAAGGGCGCCTAGTAAGGCGTTGGATCCATAGGTGAGCAGGACTCTTATCTTGGTTTGGCTTCCTTAATGCCTAGAACTAAAAAGGATAATTTTTTGTTCATTGAGGAAACGTCGTGCAAAAAACTGCAAAATTGGAAATAGTGTGCCCTTTCAATGGTTGCTAAGGATACTCTAATCAAAACTTCATCTACTAGTTTACCGGTTCATGGTATGTCTTGTTTTAAGTTCCCGGTAGACAGTTGCCGAAGATTAAACGGTCATATAGCACGATTCTAGTGGAGATCTTCTCACAATTTTGACCTTCCAATTCAATGCGTTTCTTGGAAAGTCCTTGTCCAATCTCTATTAGCGAAGCTTTGCTGGTGCATCAGAACAAATCTTGATTCCCTACTTAGTCATTTACACAAAGATAGATACCTCTTTCAAAGCTCAATTTTTAACGCTTCTATAGGCTTTAACCCTTCTTGGGGTGGAGAATCATTTTGTTTAGACGAGAACTCATCCTCCAAGGAATGCGTTGGCAGGTTGGGGATGAGAAAGATATAGATGCCTTCAAAGATAACTATATATTTTCTGATAAACCCTTTCCTCCCAAATTGAGACTTCAAGGATTTAATAATACTCTGAGGTGGCCCTACTTGAAGTTCTTTCTTATTCCCTACTTGAGGTTCTTTCTTTGGTAGTCCTTGAAAGTAGTTTTGCAAACAATGGTGGCCCTTAGATCTCATGACATTAACTTCCTTGTTCGTTGCCCAGTCTGCTAGGATAGCCAAGAGAATATCAAACATTTCTTCTTTCATTGTCCACTTGCTCTTCGTCTTTGGACTTTGGTGGGTTTAAGTGATTTGCTTTCCTCCGCCCTACTGAAAACTTTGATATCTAGTGGCGACATCTTATGACTTCAGTAAACTTCCAAACCAACATTCTCCCCCTACGTTTGCCTTCTTTCGAGAATCTGAAAATCTCGTAACAAAGTGATTTTTGAATTTACTCAACCACTAGTCAGTTCTCTTGCCCATCAATTCCTTTTTCAATTTTTTGAATTCTCTTCAGCCTCCCTTCATTCCCAGGATCTTCCTCCTCGTCTCGCGCCCTCTCATCTTGCCTTCTGGGTTTGCCCTCCCAAAGGCTATCACAAGATTAACTTTGATGTTGTTGTTCGTGACTCGGGATGCTCGTCTGGCTTTGTCGTTCGAGGGGCAGAAGGGCAAGTTACCTTGTCCTTCGTGTTCCATCAGGCATCATCCAGGAGTGTCGGACCCTTACCTTGCAAAAATGCTTGTCGTCAGGGATGTCATCTCTCTAATGCTATCTCGAAGCCTTCGTTGAGTCATTATTGAAAGAGATTCTGAAGTGGTCATTCAACAACTCGGTGGTAGATGTGTTGAAGATTCGTAGGGTGATTACTTACTCGTGATTGTTTCCCTTGCTACGGTCAAGTACTTCTTGTTTAGTTTTTAGGTCGATCCCGCTGACTGTCAACTGAGCTGCCCATAGAATGGCAAAACAAGCCCTATTGTTGTCCTCTATGGAGATAACTTCCTTCGACTTTGTATGGTAGCTTCACTAAGTGTTGCCTCGGAGAGTTCTGGGTAGAGGATTGTCAATCACTTATTTTTTCTTCCTAATTTTGTGAAGGACCACTAAAAAATCATTTAATCTTCAAACAATATATTTTCAAAATACATACATTGACAAAATGCATCAAATTACAATTTAAATACTCAATTTTGAGAATTTCAACTTACAAATTAACTCTAAATCACAATCGCAACTTTAAATATATTAGAGATCGGATTGGTCAGAAATCAAATGCACTTCTACCACAATGCCCTGATTAATCATCCCAAAATTTTGTTGGTTATTTAATTACATAATAATTATCGCCATAGAAAATTATACAGAAAAAGTTTTCAATGATCAATTTCGTTACTTTGTTGGCTTCCCGCTAATTGCTTCACCGAACATGCAACCACCCGAGCCCATTGCCTCAGCCTCGTCTTTACCGTCTCCGGATCCTCGCCTAACCCGACCCAACCAAAAAGCCCACCAAATGAAAAAGAAAAAAAAAAAGATCAGTTCAAATTTCAATTGAATTCAATTCTGTCGAAACCTCAATTTCAATTTTCAAGAAACGGCAAAAACAAAACCCTAAAATTCAAAATAAAACCAAGCCGGCAGCGGCGGCACTGCTCACCAGGATCGACGACGGCGGACGAAGCGCTGCCGTCCGACGAGATGGACGCGTCGGAAGAAGTCCGCGACAGGATCTCGTTGTACTGCTTGTTGACTGCGCAGTAGAATCCGAGGGCCGGGAGCGCGTCGGAGAGCCTGGGATCCAGATCCGGCGAGTCCGGCTCGAACCCGAACCCGAGCTCTATGCAGGCCTTCAGCTCGTCCAGGTCCTCGTCCGTGACGCTGCGGTGCAGGCGGCTCCTCCTCGATTCCTGGCGGTGGTTTCCCCTGCGGCGGCGCCACACCTCCTCCCTCCCCGTCTCCGGCGACCACGATAGGATCTTTCGGAGGTGCGGCCGAGGCCTCTGCGGCTCCGGCACCGGTAACGCCGCAAGGTCCGGCTGCGAGATCGACAGCCGGCGGAGACGGCTGATCTGGCTTTCTGATTCTGCCATGTTAACACTCTCCGTTATTCCACGGCGGAGTCGTGTGCAATCGTTGAGACCCAGGCGGCGGCGGCGCTGGGCTTATGCCTTTTTTACGAGTGAGGAATAAGTGTGAGGGGTTTGCGTTTATTTATACACAGGCGGAAGATTTTGGCGGCGTAACGTAATGAATATTCCCTCTTAGGTTCCTTCTAATATTTCGGTAACTACATAATTACTGTTGTTTTCTACTCCGAGTCCACGAATTGGCCAATCACGGTCAAACTATTTTTGGTCACTTATTAATAACTTGAGAAAAACATATTAGGTAAGTAAATATAAGTAATTATGTAAACTAATTCAAATTTTCCATCTCACCATCGTATATATTTTTTTACCTTTTTTTATCAGCCTATCGCGGTGATTAAATAGTTAAACCCAAAAATTAGCAATACTCGTGGCTTCTTGATCTAACTATCGATTCATTGTTAAATGAAAAAATGGATGGTCCTGATCAGTTTTACTTGATAAGGTCGATTTAATACTTCTGTCTTTTTTACTTTTCTACTCGTGGTGTGGATGGATAATCTACAACCACTTAATTATTTTAGTGAAACTTATTTTATTCAGCCGAGTTTCCCGATACCACATAACAGAGTCGATCGATCGACACTGAATCTGTCAAGTAGATCGTTGAAAATATAATATATTCAGTATCACCGTAGTTTAAATGATTCAATGAATCGGGTTTGACCATAATGGGGTCCAATGTACTTTCTAATTTGCTTTCAAAAGGTTCTCAACAAAATTTCCATTGGGAGTGAAAAGGCTAACATTCATATTTAATTGTTCCTTCTCTATTTGGGATCTTAGTAACATACCGAGAAAGCAATCGTGGCCATAGGACTGAGTGTTAGTGAGTGTGCATATGTGTCCGTGTTCATAAGTGGGCGGTTCATTGATGTGATGAGACGTGACGGTTCATTGATTTCCCCAAATCGAAAATATGGTTGAAATATGTTGATTTGGGTTTCTTGATATTTTGTTCGTGAATAATGAAACATTTTTAGATGGCTCAAATTAGGAACGACAGCAGGAAAGGATTGTACCATCTCAATGTTCACGGCCTACCGAGTACCGACAGCATGTAGTGAAACTAATTATACATGTCATTTGAGTTTCATGAATGGTAAAAGTAGGGATGGCAATTACTAAAAACATAAAAATAGCAATAGAACGGATTTGTCTAAACAATCCTCATTTCCGCTTTTAAATATTTAAATTCATACAATACGGGAAAAGGTTTTGCATACTGGGAGGCTAAATGTCGCCCTAGTTTTACCATTATCGCCCTAAATTAAAATATAATATGACTAAATTGTACCTCTTTAATCAATACAAATTCAACAAAACAAAAAAAATCCCCTAAAATTTCTAATCCGCCTTTTGACATCGTGACCGCCGCTATCTTCTCTGTTCATTGTCGGATGAGGGCTCATTGTCATTGTCCTCTCCAGTCGCCGGTCCCAGCGAAGAAGACCAAAGTCTCCGACTTCTCCAAAATCTGAACCGCTCCATTGTTCGTCAAATCCGTCGTCGCCATCTGCAAGCGCGGCTCCCGTTTCATTGCCGCCGCCGTCTCCATCCATCAGCCGCCGCGACCGTCTCCGCCATCGGTGCCACTCGATCTCCTCGTCCCGTCGACGAGGACGTAGTGCACTGACCGAAGTTGAGCACCCAAATTTGACCTAGATCTGGCGTCGCCTTTCCTCTTCGAAGTCTCCAGCTCTCGCAAACAACCGTAGTCTCCAGCTCCTGACCGCCTGTCGTCACCCCATTGTCGTTGGAATGAGAATTTTCCGATTCAGAAATGAATCAAAGTGAGGCATCCAGAAAAGAAAAGAATTAGATTCGGCGATTAGTTTAGGGCGATTAAGGCCCAATTCACAATAAAAAGGGATAAAGGACAAAGAAATAATTTAAAATTTTTAGATTATGGCGATTAGGGTGAGATTTAGCAACCCCCTTTGCAAACCCATCTCCAAACCAGTGGGTTTCGGGTACCCATGGGTAATACCCACCCCGTACATCCAACATTATAATACCGAAAAATTTTACTTGCAAATTTTCAATTATAACATTAAACGCACCTAATATATCATGAAGTCGACAAAGAGACAATCATTCTTAATATGGTTCAAAACATTTTATCTTAAAACATCCATTAATCCAAAAGATAGAGTACAATGTAATCCAAATCATTATTCTCTGACTCTAATACATCTACTAAGTAATAACTAACTAACATGATCTTGTTAACAATAAGAAAAAAGTGATTCAAATCATTATTCTTTGCCTCTAATACATCTACTAAGTAATAACTAACTAACATGATCTTGTTAACACGAAGAAAAAGGTGAAGAGTGAACAGAGAGTGGGGGAAAGGGAATTAGGTTTTTCAATTGCATTTATAGTATTTATTTTTGTTATGGACAATCCAAGTACCACATCGGAAATACAAGGGAAGGAACCATTGTATATTAGTGTCCACCTAGCCCAATTAGTACGAGGCCTTTTGGGGAGGATACCCAAAAGTAAAACCGTGCGGGCTCGGCCCAAAGCGGACAATATCGTACTAATGGGCTGCCCAGTTATGACAAGTGGTATCAGAGCCTGGTTCGGCAGATCCGGGGCGGTGGACGTCAGTTCGGTGGACCCTCGCTCGGTGACCTCGGGGTTTGAGATCTGCATCTGGTTTGGTGGATCCACGAGAGATCCACGTTTGGGCTCATCTGGCGAATCGAGGGAGGTTCGTGTTTGTCTGGTGGAGAGATCCACGTCTGTTTGGCGGATCAAAGAGAGTTCCGCGTCTGGTAAAGTCCTTGTACCGAGAAGCCCATTGATACAAGGCATCTGGCGGATCAAGATAATCGCTGAGGTGAGGACACGATGTTCGTGGTCCTTGTCTTGAGGGGAGGATTGTTATGGACAATCCAAGTACCACATCGGAAATACAAGGGAAGGAACCCTTGTATATTAGTGTCCACCTAGCCCAATTAGTACGAGGCCTTTTGGGGAGGACACCCAAAAGTAAAACCGTGCGGGCTCGGCCCAAAGCAGACAATATCGTACTAATGGGCTGCCCAGTTATGACAAGTGGTATCAGAGCCTGGTTCGGCAGATCCGGGGCGGTGGATGTCAGTTCGGTGGACCCTCGCTCGGTGACCTCGGGGTTTGAGATCTGCATCTGGTTTGGTGGATCCACGAGAGATCCACGTTTGGGCTCATCTGGCGAATCGAGGGCGATCTCAAATCCCGAGGTCACCGAATGAGGATCCACCAAACTGACGTCCATCGCCCCGCATCGAAACCAGGCTCTGATACCACTTGTCGAAATCGGGGCGCTCAATTAGAACGTTATTGTCCGCTTTGGGCCAAGCCCGCATGGATTTACTTTTGGGTGTCCTCCCCAAAAGGCCTCGTACTAATTGGGCTAGGTGGACACTTATATACAAGGGTTTCTTCCCTTGTATTTCCGATGTGGTACTTGTATTGTCCCATAACGTGCTAGTGAGAGAGAGAGAGTGCTAGTGTGATCTTGGAGCATCATTGGAGGCTTGGGTGGAAGATTCAATCCTAGAAGAAGAAGCAGAAGATCTTGAGCTCAATTTGTAATCCCTCTCTCTCTCTCTCTCTAGAAACTCACTCTTTTCTCTTGGGTGTTGTAGATCACTAACTAATACTTTGTAATTACTTGTTTAGATTGAATGATTGTAATTGGGTAGTGATTAATTCAAGGATTGAGGTATTATTCATGTTGATTGTGCATGCTCGTGCTTAGCAATCTAAGGGTTGTGCATGTTTTATGCTTAGCATCCTTAGGTTTGTGCATTGCGGTGCTTAGCAACTTAAGGATTGTGCATAATTGTGCTTATCACCCTTAGGTTTGTGCATGTTGGTGCTAGCAATCTAATTAGCCACTTTAGCCTAGGTTAATTTAGGGCAAACCTCAATGTTGAATTAAGCAAATTGGTTAAGCGTGATTAAGCCGTCCAACCTTGAGTTGAGTGAGGGAGTAAGTCAACTACCGATTGTCTAAACCTAGAGGGTTTAGTGACACGGCCTTTCATGCTTACCTCGGTTTAGCAATTGAGATTGTGGTCTCCGACCTCATATGCATCACTCTGCGGTACACGGTTACCAGTTTGCATCTAGGTTGGCTGTGATTAAGCCTCTCAAACTCCGGTTTCAGGGAGAGACCTAGGCAACCACTAGAGCCTAAGTGAGAGGATCTATCCCGTGACAAATTGATCCCTAGCAAATCCATCACGTGACAAATGGATCGCTAGTTGCTCCTCCTAGCGGTTCCCCTAGACTTGGTGAGTGGATCCAGGACAGTGAAGCGGTGTGTTTCGGAAGACGCTGAGTTCACGGACGCGCTTAGGTGTTCATAGCCGTGAACTGGCCAACGCGTCCTTGAACTGGTCGCTTTCGGGCAAATATGAAGACAACAGCGGGGAGAGAGAGAAGGGAGCTGATTTTTGGAGAAGAAACACTTTCTTTCTCTAGGGTTTCAACCTAAACACCAAAGGGGAGTTCCCCTAGACTTGGTGAGTGGATCTATCTCGTGACAAATCGATCGCTAGTGAATTGATTCCGTGACAGATTGATCACTAGTTGTTCACTCCCGAGGTTCACAACCACCTACACCTCAAGACTTCATTCAATCCAACAAGTTTTGGTAGCTAGTTAGGGGGAAGCAATTCCTGGGTGAAGCTCCCTTAGTTAGAGTTTTCCTTTATTTACTTTTCTTTGCTTGGTCAGTTTGTAGTTCCAATAAACCTAAACCCTAAAGTTGTTTGCTAGATAACAACCTAAGCGATTGAAGTAGGAGTACATGGATCGGGCAGGGTTGACAATTTAAATACTTGCTCTATACTGCACCCGGCTAGAGTTTAAAAACTTGGACTCTAGTCGGGATTAATTTGTGGTGTAGTTTCGTGCGAGTCAAAACCCGATCCGATTAGATTCGAATTGAACATGTCCCTACTCACCAAATTGACACCTTTGCCCATAACACATTGAGCACAACCGTCAAAAAAATCATCACAACTCTAACAT